GCCCCCCGGGAGCGAGCTGGGCGAGGCCGCCCTGCCGGCCCTGAGCCGCGAGTCGGGCATGGAGACCCAGCAGGTGCTGAACTGGTTCTACTCCCGCTCGCCCGAGCCGGCCGAGGGGGTGGTGTGCCTGGGCGAGGAGCAGGAGGACGAGGACGAGGAGGCCGGGCTCATGGTGCAGGAGGAAGGGGAGGAGGAGGAGGACGAGCTGGAGGAGGAAGACCTGGGCGCCCAGGAGTGAGGCGCACCAGGACTCCTGGGGGTGTTTTGTGGGGGGAACTGACTCGTGCTGGGGCTCTGCTCTGTCTAGTTCCTCCCTCTGCTCTAGAACCCAGATCTGGGCCCTGCCTCTCATTCCCCTTCCCATTCCGGACCCCAGCTCTAGAACCCAAACCCGGATGGCGTTGTGCTACCTAGAGCGCGCTTGTAAGGTGCTCTCCGTTCCCTGGTGTCTGGAGCTGGTCTTGGTGCTCTAGAACCGGATACCGGCCCCCCTCTTCCCATGGTAGGAGCTAGTACCACCTTCTCCCCTCTGTGTTCTAGAACCCCAACCACCGTGTGGTCCCATCCTCGTTCTAGAGCAGGTGGATCCCCCCCAGCGCTGCCAAAGGCCCTAGAACCAGGAGTTGTTGATCTAGACCCCCAGTGGCCATTTCGCTCCCAGTCCCCCTACTCTAGAGCCTAGGTTCTTGGCTCTCTCTGCTTCCTGGTTTGTGTTCTAGACCCTGCTACCTTCCGACCAGTTGTCTGGATTCAGGTATGCTCCCTTCTCCAGACTTTCCCCCACCTCTCCCCTTCCACGGCTTCTGTTTCTAGAGCCCGCCCTGGTTCGCACCCACGCCCCCTTGTAGAATGCGTTACGCCCTGGTGGGGGCCTGGCCTGGGCCAGGGGGCAGGCTGTGGTCAGCAGAGGGCTCCCTGTGTTTGGTTTTACAAACGGGGCCGGAGCGAGGGTGGGAGAGCCCAGGGCGGTGGTGAGCGAGTGCAGCCGTTCGTTTGTTTTTTCTGGAGTTGTTAATTTATAGCGCCCAGCGGGCGAGAGTTAAAACGAGGTTTGAACCCCACACCTGTGGCCTGTGTCTGATTGGTGGAGGGCGGGTGGAAGGGGGCGGGGCTGCTTCAGCATCATCTAGTTCGTGTCGGTGGGGAGGTGGCTCCAATGCCCCTTCCTCTCTCCCCCTGGTTTCCCGTCCTTCAGTTCTTCCTCTGCCCCTCTCCCTAGTTCGGTACCTGGCTGCTGCCCCCTGGCCTCCCCCACTCCTGCTAGGCCTCTGGGTTCACCCCCCCACCCTTCCCCTAGCCAACCCCTACCCCCACAGAGCCCCCGCAGTTGCAAGGCAGAGAGGGGGTCACCCTGAACCTCAGTTCCCCTGCAAATACCCAGCGCCCCCAGAGAAAGGCCAGACATTTATTGTTGGTGGGGTGACCCCCAACCCACTTTGGTCCCAGCAGCGGGGGGACAGGGATAATGGGGGGGGCTGACCCTGAGGCTGGGCTGTCCCCCTGGTGGATGGGGGACCATGCCAGGGAGCTGGTGGATTTATCAGACACATGTGGGGGCTGGAGGAACAGGGACTGCTGGGCTGGGGGAGCTGGGTAGGGGCCATGTGGGGCAGGCAGTGGGGGATCTCCTGGATCCTATGCCCCCAGCCCAGTCCCTCTGGTCCCAGGGGGCCGGGGCCGTGGGGTGCCCGGGCAGTTGCTACAGCTGGGGGGCCCGGCCGGCACCAGGAGGCCTGCAGGGAAAGAATCATGGTGGAGAGGCAGGTCGCCCCTTGAGGTCCCTCACGGCCCCCCTCCCCCAGACCCTCAGAGTGTGGGGCTCCCCCCCTCAGAGCCCTCCTCTCCCAGACCCTCCTCGTGTGGGGCTCCCCCCATCAGAGCCCCCTTGAGTGTGGGGCTTCCCCCCTCAGACCCTCTGTGAGTATGGCCCCCCCACGCCTCCCTCCTCCAGATG